AATTAAAAAGAAAAGAAAACGAAACTTAAAACAAGGGCTGTAGATGTAGCTCAGTCATTAGAGTGCTTGCCCAGCACGCAGAAGCCCATGGGCTCCATCCCCAGCATGGATAAATCAGGCCAGTAATCACAGCGCTACGGAGACGAAGGCAGCAGGGCCAGAAGTTCTAAATCAACTCCAAGGCTACACTGAGCTCATGAATAAGACTCTGTCTCTAAAAATACACAAATAAAACACAGTGCGGAGTCTTTCAGCCAATAGCAACTATTACTAATTTTCTTCAATAACTAGAAACTTACATAAAATAGTGAGATAAACCAAAGGTCTGCATCAACTATTAGTGCCTAAAAATGATCGATTTTGCAGATGTGTTGCAGTGCTTAAAAAATGTCTTCAGTCAGCATAGCTCTGTGAGTTCAAGGCCAGTCTGGTCTATAGAGTAAATTCCAGGACAGCCAGGGTTTTTATCTCCCCCCCTTCCCCCCCCTCTCCCACTTCTTCGGTCAGATGGGGTGATACAGGCCTTTATTCCCAGTACTCAGGTAGGAGTTCAAGGCCTATAGTGAGACTCAGTCATCACCACACACACTGACACAAAACAAGTGTTTTTCGGCCGGGAGACTGTCCTTGTAACAATAAAGGAAGCTTTGCGTGGGCATCTAGTGGAAGGCCCTATTTAAAGGATCTGATAGATGAAAAAAAAGCTTTGGAACTCTGGCACAAGGAGCTGCATAGGAAAATTAAAATCCTGCCTGAGTCCAACCATTTTTTTCTCATATTTTTATCCAATTTTGAGTCTTACAGTTTCCAACCCACTGAAAACTCCCTGTCTCCTTGACCAGAAGCTTCCTCAGATTTCTTTAGTATCCCAGGGCATCAGCTACACAGTTCACCTTTAGAAAATTTGGTTTTCATGGTACACTAGAAATACAGTACAAGCTTTAAAAAAAAAAAAAAAAAAAGCAATAACAAAACATACTGATTTGGTTGTGGTAAGAATTAAACTGTGACTGAATGTGCCAGCTCCTGGTAAGTGTAAAGCCCCCAGCACAGCATAGTGAGTCTAGTCAGCTTCTAGACTACACAGGAGTGATCACACAAGCATCCAGTGTGAACAGCACGCAATGAAGCACACTGGAGTTGGCAGAAATTCAATTTACAGGTTTCACAGACCACTATAAAATATCAAGGAGTTGCCCCGTGGTGATGGCAAATGCCTTTAATCCCAGCACTCAGGAAGCAGAGGCAGGTGAACCTCTGTCAATCTGAAGCCAGCCTGGTCTCAAATATATTTATATACAGTTTTCAGGGGTAAAGACGTTTGGGGTCTAGAGATGTGCTTGCCTATGACGCATGAAGCCCTAGGTTCATCTTAGCACCACATAAAACCAGGCACAGTGATTTCTACTTATAATCCCAGAACTCAGGGGGGAACAGAAGGCTCTGGAGTCCAAGGTCTTCCTCAGCTACACAGCATGTTTGAGGCAAACCCACGCTGTGTGAGAAAAGAGCTTTAGGGGCAGAGCAGGCAAAACAAGCAACGTGCCTTAAGTTTTCCAAACCATGTCTGCTATAAGTCTTCCTGTTCAGCAGCAAGAATTGGTAAAGAGGTAGAAATGACCAGCACTTCTAGGGTAGGAAAGCTCTTTTCAAGAGTCTGGCAGCTGCCTGAGATGTAAAAATATAGTTACCCAAAGGGTATATACTCCCAGCTCTGTATGCAAAGGAGCTAAAAGCATGTCCTGCACATGCATGTGCATGGTAGCAATATACATGAAGGTCCACCGAAGCCATCTAATACTGGCCCAACATTTCTATTCACTCTATAAATACACATGTATGCAGACTCCATCCACAAGGATGCTTCTGCAGCCATTTGCAATAGAACCTAACACAATCCCAAATTCCCACTTACTACTGCTAAAGAAATGATTCAGCCATACAATATGATATATCGTCGCACTGGGCATTTAAAAAGAGAACATCCTGATGGCTCAGCTGGAAAGGGAGCCTTAGTTCAATTCTAGAAACTCACACAGTGGAAGAAGTAAGCCAACTCTCACAAGCTGCTGCCCTGACTTGTGCACAGGGCCTGTTAAGAATGGAATCAATCAATAACCCCTCCCTCCTTCCCCCCAAACACAAAGTAAAAAGGGAACATTTTAAAAGAAAATCCAAGGAATTAAAAAAAAAAAAAAAAAAAAGACCAAACTGTTTTGGTAGTAATGTTTGATTTTCTTAAACAATTAAGCAAACTGTCGAGTATCACAAGTTCATCAAGTTCGGTGGCACATACCTTTAATCCCAGCACTTGGGAAGTAGAGTCAGGAAGATCTCTGTGAGGTCAAGGCCAAGGCCACCCTCATCTACACAGAGAGCCCCAGACCTGCCTGCTGTGCAGTGAGACCCTGTCTCAAATGGGGTGTGGGGGTGGAGGGGAGTACACATCTTTAATCCCAGCACTTGGGAGGCAGATGGGTGGACCTCTCAGTTCAAGGCCAGCCTGGTCTACAGAGTTCCAGGACAGACTGGCTCCAAAGCCACAGAGAAACAATTACCACACAACAATGACTTAGGGAGAAACAATTTAGGAATGACCAGCTGCCATTTGCTAAACACAAACCCTTGTATCTCCCTCAGTGCCTGTAACCTCAGCACTGAGGAGGCTAAGACAGGAGCTCAAGTTTAAGGCTGGTGGGGATTCCTTACTGAGTTCCAGGCTAGCCTGGACTATATAGTGAGACCCGATTTTGGGGGGTAAGGGGGACTGAATGGCTCTACAAGCTCAATTCCTGGCATCCAGCCACCCGTGGCTCCAGCTCTCTCTTCAGGCACTGCACCCCTGAGGCGCACATACATACTCTGGCGCGCACACCCACACCTAAACATAAAATTTAGATAAAAATTTTAATGACTCCAATTGTCTTGCAAATAACACAAACAGGTTGTTCAGTGTCTTGCTGAGGCTATCACTACTGAAGGGCTTTAAGACTTCTTTTACCTGGACCTTTCCATTATCAGGGCTTGTAACTGGACAGTATCCTGATTCTGTGCATAAAATGCACCAGATCTCTCAGTATTATTGACATTTTCTAAGGTTAATTTTTTTGATGGCTTCCTCAGGAAGGCTTGCCAAATTACACTTTATCCCCATGAAAGATTTCCTCCAATGATTGCTGTCAAAACCCTTACAGTGAGTTGTAGCTCAGTATTGGAGAGCTGGCCTAACAAGCACAAGGCCCTGAATGACAGTTCTTGGGCCACTAACAATTTTCCTTACGAAAACAACCACTTAAATCTTCTTAACTCTTGTTCCTTTTCTTCCCGCCCCCCTCCCCCTTTGGAGACAGGATCTCTCTGCACACACCTGGCTGTCTTGAAACTCACTATATGAAGCTGACCTTGAACTCCACTAAGATCCACCTGACTCTGCCTACAGAGTGCTACTGATTAAAGGCATGTGCCACCACACCCAGCCTTACAACGTTTATTAAAAACCACCTAAAAATCAACACAGAACTGTCTAAATTAATAAAACATTTAAATCTTATGAATGTGTTTCAATCCATAAACCTTTAAATTTAAATAGTTCCATCCTTTAAAGCCACACATCCTTTGGCCCAGGTAGTAATTTAAGATCAAATGAGGTTTTCAACACAATTGGAGGCTAGCATTCTGTCTGCTATGAAGTACTGTGCAGATCGATGGAAAATCAGTTGTGTGCCACCCCGCATGGGTTTGCAAAGAACAGATACATATCTGTGCCGGTCCAGGATATTTCTGGAAAGACTCACGAGAAATTGGCAACATTAGTTACATTTAGAAGACACTCCTGTGTCTTCGCCACCAACTTTTCTCAATTTACTCTTATGTACCTCTACACAATTCACAACTATACCAGGCTTAACTTGACCGCAAACTACATAGCCCTAACCAAACATCATCTTAAGAGGTGTAACAAAGAGCAGAAGGAATGTGCAGATCCCATCAGCGCGGAGTCTCTTTGGAAGGAACCCGGGAAAGCTGGCATCTCCTCCAGAAGGGCCACCCTTAGACCTGGGAAGAAGCCAGTCAGGGGATGTACTTAAATTAACTCCTTCCTCTTCCCCCTCCTCTCGGCTTCCTTTAAAATCGGTCTTATTTTCCAGCAGCCCATCAATCTAGAATGTACTTTCTACTAAATTCCCATGTTTGTATAAACACTTCCTACATCAATAAATGTTGTCACCAATCGAGGCCACTTAGGAAAAAGTCCAAGACCAAGGCCTGGAAACCAGTTTCTTAAAACCTCACCCGGAGGTGGACACCATCCGCCCCAGAAAAACGCGGCACATTCCCTCAACCGCGCAGCAGACAGCTATGCAGCTGACAATGCGTTTCCAGGTACAGCAGCACACTGAAGGCAAGCTCTGGCTTCGACACGAATCCCGACAATGCCAGCAGCTGCCAAATTAATTCATTTGGCCTTCGAGAACTGAGGCACTAAGAAAAATCACCTCGAAAGCTTGCTTTTCTGTCTGCTCGGGCTGGCGGGGATTTCTCAAAAGTGACACCTCTGGGGCTCTTAGAATGCTGCTGGGTGGTTCAAACGCCATCACCGTGACACCTTTCTGGAGGGAGGGCAAGGATCCCCGAGGAGGCCTGAGGAGGGCGCGATGGCGTGGGGGTGAGGGGGGGCAAGGGCCAGGGCCTCACCGGGGGTCCCACGCGTCGCTGAGGCGCAGCGGGGCTCGGGCCCTCGGGCCCCCAAAAGATCAGCGCCCTCGGAGCTCGGCAGAGGCTCGGACACGCGTGAGGACAACCGCGCCAGCTCTCGCGGAGTGAGGTGGGTTCGAGGGCAGGCAGAGCGCCCTCCCCGGCACCGCGGGGGCCGGGTGCATTTACAGAGGTGACCCCGCGGCCCATCCCGGGTAAAGTTGCAGCCGCAGGCGCGCGGGCGGCGAGAGGCGCGAGGAGCCGGCCAGCCGCGAGCCTCGTGGGGGTGTGGCGGGGGCTCTCACCCGTGATGTCCAGGTACAGGTCGTCCTGCTGCTCCAGGCGGTGCAGCTCCTGCGGCGTGGAGCTGCGGCTCTTCTTCACGCCGGGGGAGGCGGACGAGCTGCGGCGCGAGCAGGGGGGCGCGGTAGCCCAAGACGAGCGCCGCTCGCCCTTGCGCTTCATGGAGGCGGCCGCGGCCCGTCAGGGGACCGCGACCATGGCCCGGCAGCCCGGCCCGGGTCCTCGAGCTGCGCCTCCCGCCGCCCGCGTCCCGGGGGCCACACGGCGCTGGCCGGCGGCTGGGGCGAAGCGCGCGCGCCCTGGGACGCTGCTGCCTGGGCGTCCGAGCTCGGCGGGCCGCGGCTCCCGGGGACCCCCAGGAGGGATGTTCCGTGGAGCTTCATTCACAAAAAGAAGGGCCCACAACCCTCCTCGGGGCCCGCCGGCTCGGGCCGTTCATTGGTCAGCGCGGCGTGACGTCACGCAGCCGGGGCCTTCCTACAGGCAGGTACTCGGTGACGCCATAAAGAAAAGTCTGAGCGCTTCCGCCAATCGGGCAGAGAGCGTGCTGGCGACCCCTGGGTGGGACGGGACCCCCCCCCCTCCAACTTTTGTGTCCTGCGTCCAGGTGCGACGCCTCGGTCACCAGTTCCTCGAGTGCGTCTCCAAGTTCCTGCGCAGCCCTGACCCGGGAACTCCACTCCGGGTCTTCGGGATGGGGTTTTCTTTTTTAAGTGTTTCTTGGGTTTCCTTGTAATTCGCGCCAAAGGAGCCTGGTCATGGCCGCCTGCTAGCAGTGTAGCCTGCTGAAACGGTCGGCGCGCAGCTCTGTGCACCCCAGAACTTGGCTCAGGCCCGCGCTGTTTTCCTCCACCTATCGGGACAGAGCAATGAGGGGCTTCTGAGAGCCGGTAAAGCCACCTGGAGACGCGATTTACCGTGGTGGTTTGCTCCTTCCGGCACCTCACCCCGGGAACCTGGAGCTGCGCTAACTCTTGCTGAGCATAACCCGGGTGCCCACGGTCCGATTTAACGCCAAGCGTAGGAGCACGTGGCCAGCTGAGCCCTCGGACTTTTCTCTTTCAGTTCTGCAGGGATACAGCCCCATGGTTTGCTACTGCGGTGAAAGGATGTCAGACCTTTTGGGAACTTGACCACAGCTGCCATTTTGAAGGGCCTAGCTCCATCGTAGCATCTAAATGGGCGAGGAGACTGGAAACAACCTTTTAGAGTCGATGGTCCCAAATTCTCCATCTGCAGGACAATTGCTGTTGTCAACAGCGATTTAACTTCTTATCTGCAAGGGAAGCCAGAGTCAGAGAGCCATGAATTTCAGCCCCTCCCCCCCTTCCCACAAGGAACCTCTCAGAAATGCAGATTTCACGGAGTTCCTCACCGAAGAGTAATGCTGACTTTTGTTTTAAAGCGGCCCATTAAGCCTACTAAGTAGGAAAAGAAAGAGTGTAGGACAGCTTTTCCTTCGCCAGGAACCGCTTAAAAACTAACTTGGTTTCGTATTCATCGTTCGGTTTTCCACAAAGATATCAACGAAGGCCTTACATTTAAAATGTTCTGCATGTTTGTAACGGTAGCAAAACATTTGACATAAAGTCTTGCACACTGTCCCAGGGCTCATAGTAGAATGGCCACCACGTATTAATCAGGAATTTTAAGATGATCCCTAGGATTACAGGGAAGAAAATACTCTAAGATTATGTATTGTTCTGTCTCGATGTGCATCCCGGACTGGCCTCAAAATGGCATCTGCCTCTCCAGTGCTGGGATTACAGGTGGCGATGTCTAGTGTGTTCTGCTTTTTGACGTTCTGAGACTTACACCCAGGGCCTTGCACTTGCAGGGCAAATGATCTATTAGTAAGCCAAATTCCTGGCCCACGTTATCTTTTTGAGACTGGCCTAAGAGCCAAGTGGTTTCCAGTTGATTATTTTCTCCCACCTTCAAAGAGAAAGTTTGGGCTAGATTCTAGCTGCCAGAAATTCTAACAAAAAGTATATGGTTTAGATAAAGAGGGTAAAACTTATGCATACATAATTATACCACGTAATGGTTTTCATATTTTGGAAATTCATAATTTTATGATCTTGCTGAAACAGTATTTTTAAAATGAGGCTTTTGATTACACCTTCTAATTATTCTGACCAGACGTGTCTTTCATTCTTAGGAACTGTAAGTCCATGTGCTAAACTTGAATTGCAGGCCTATAGTATAAGAACTTAGAAAATGGAGGACAGAGGATGAGTTCAAGGTCATCCTCTGTTACATAAGGGGTTGGAAGTCAGCCAAGGCTACAACCAGATCCTGTTTCCAAATAAAATGATTCAAGGCCAGTCAGATGGCATAGTGTGTAAAGACACTTGCCAGCAAGTGTGGCAACCTGAGTTCAATCCCTGAGAACCCATTTATTAGAAGAGAACCAGCTGACACATACCCCCTCCACACATATTAAAATAAGTAAATGTAACCTCAAACTCTCCTTATATTTTGTTTTTTCCTGCCGTGTTTAGACAGTGGCAGGGAAGTATCTTAGCTGATCTTTGTTGTGTGTGTGTGTCACATTTCCTTTGAATTGTCTGATTTCTTCAGGCAATAATAAGCTGACTTCTAGGTTCTGAGAATCTGGCTACAGGAAAGTGCCTGACTTTGCTTGCACGAGTACATTACTGTTCGTTGTTTGATCACTGGTCATAGGATTGTGGAGTTTGAAAGCCTCTTAGACAATATTTGGTCCAAGGCTGTCTTTTGACAGTGAGGACAGGAGACTCAGGAGTGGTCGGTCAGTCAGGATAGAAAGACAGAGAACATTATGGGGACCTGGGAAGGAGAAGAAGCCCCCTTATTCGGGAGTATGACTGAAGTGTCTCAACAGCTGAGAATCAAGAATTCAGGCTGGGACTAGAGAGGTGGTTGAACAGTTAAGAGTGAACAGCGCTCTGGCAGAGCACCTCAATTTGGTTTCCAGCACGCAAGTCACTACCACCTGTAATGTCAGCAGCTCCAGAGGATCTGCTACCTAGGCACTTGGACTCATGTGCACCTACCTGCTGCTGCACACAAATCTTTAAGGAAAAGAGTTCCAGACTGGCCTGTCAGCGGTGGTGCAGGCCTTTGATCCCAGCATTCAAATTGGAGAATGTTTTTCATTTTGTTTGAGACAGGGTTTTTCTGTAACTTTGGATCCTGTCCTGGAATCACTATGTAGACCAGGCTGGCCTCACAGACCTCTGCCTGTCTCTGCCTCCCAAGTGCTGGGATTACAGGCATGTGCCACCATTGCCTAGCTGTATTTCTTTTATAAAGAAACGTTGTCAGGGGCTAGCAGTAAGTTTTATATCTTTTAAAAATAAACTGACCCCCAGGCTGGGGGTGGTGGCGGGCGCATGGCTGCTCTTCCAGAGGACCTGGGTTAAATTGTGCCCATATGGCAGCTCACTACAGTCTATAACTCCAGTTCCAGGGACTCTGACATCCTCACAAGACATGCATGCACACAAAACACCAGTTTTGTTTTGTAACAGCCATAAAACATAAAACCATAAAATAAAAAACCATCTTTAACTGCTTGTGCATACAAGTACATCCTGTACTTGTGTTAATGCAGATATGTATGTTACTGTCAAAAGTTTGTGTGTTTTCAGAGCTAAGGAACCAGACACCAATGAAAACAGATGACCCTGGTGATTCAGCATCTCATTGCATCTCTGTTGCAGCTTCCTCAGGGTTCTGCATCCAGAAGAGCTTCAAGGATGCAGAGATGGTCCAGCTTCACAGATTACCCTGGCCAGGACTTCAGATAAGCCTTGCACTTCCCCCATTGCACAGAGACTGGACAACAAAAATATAGCCAACTCTCCCAGGACTTGACCGTTATCCCAATTTTCTCAGTCTCCTAAAAATGTCGGTGTCCCCAGACAACAGAACACCCACATTCCCAAGAGGTGGAATGGATGGCTTTTGGGTTATAGATATCTGTCATAATTTAGTGGCGGTGGGGGGTGAGGGAGTGGAGGGGGTTGTTAGAAGTTATTAGTCATGGTCAGGAAAAAAGCTAAATAACAATCTCTTTTTGAAGGAAAAAAAGAAGGATATAATATTAAATGATGAGCTAAAAGGTTAGATTGTTGATTCTACTTTTAAATAGCTAGTCTCATATTTTACACTGGTATGGATTTTTATATATTGATACAATTTAAGGTTATTTTTTTTTTCCTTCTACTGTGTAGGCAGAGGTTTTCTGTCCCAGGAGGGGCTTCTAGTTATAATTGTAGTTTTTCTTACTTATGACAGAAGGTAAATTACAGTTAAAAGTTTTCTTTTTTAGACAAAAATGGGGAAATGTTGTAGAATTATCTTTTTGTACACTGTGAATATTTGTCACTTAGATTAGCTTAATAAAAAGCTGAACTGCCAATAGCTAGGTAGGACTTTCAGGGCAGAGAGGACTCTGGGAAGAAGGATAAACACGCCAGGAGATGCAGAGTGAGCAGGTTAGCACTATGGAGATGAAATAATAAAGCCATGAGACAGAAAGTAAGTTAATATAAATGGATTAATCTAAGTTCTAAAAGCTAGTTAGAAAGAAACTTAAAGGGCTGAGCACTGATGGTGTACACTCTTAATCCCAACACTCAGGAGGCAGAGGCAGGCACATTTCAGTGAATTCAAAGCCAGCCTGGTCTACAGAGGGAGTTCCAGGACAGGCAGACTTCAAAGCTCCACAGAGAGAAACCCTGTCTCAAAAAAAAAAAAAAAAAAAAAAAAAAAAACAAAAAAAAAAAAAAAAAAAAAAAAAAAAAACAAAAAGGAACAAGCCTAAACTATCATCTGAGCTTTCATAATAAGAAGTCTCTGGTTATTTGGAAGCTGGCTGATGGGACAAAAAGTGGCTACATCAGCCTCCAAGTGCTGGGATGAAAGGTGTACACCACCATGTCATGTCTGCCACAAAGTAAATTATTTTTTAATTTGGTTTTTCCAGACAGGGTTTCTCTGTGTAGCTTTGGAGCCTGACCTGGAACTAGCTCTGTAGATCAGGCTGGCCTCAAACTCACAGAGATCCGCCTGCCTCTGCCTCCCGAGTGCTGAGACTAAAGGTGTGCGCCACCAACCCCGGCTAAGGTAAATTAAAAATAAATAAAGAAATTATATATATATATATATATATATATATATATATATATATATTTATCACATGATAAAAACAAAGATGGCACAAGGATTCTGAGTGGACTCCAAAGTCCCATGTGTTAAAGGTTTGGTCCCCCCTAAGCATTATGGGAAATGGTGGGAATCAGGAGGTGGACTCTAGGGAAGGGTTTTCAGTCACTGGAGTCATGACATCATAGGGAACTGTGAGGCATGGGGTTCTTTGTTCTTATAGCTCTTGGCTATGAAGTAAGCAGCTTTATTCTACATGTTACTTTTGCTGTAATCTGTTATCTCACCAATGGCCCCAAAGCAGTGGGCCAGCCAAGCTTAAGCCTCTGAAACTGTAAGCCAAAATAACATTTCTTCTCTTTAAGTTAGTTATCTCAGGTGTTTTCTTACAGAAACGGAAAGCTAACCCAGTGGGTATTAGTTCAGCG